CTGTTAAATTTACTGTGTGTCTTCTCTCTTCTGATTGATCTCTGAGTAAATCAGGTGGTTGCTGAGAGAACACGGCTATCTTTCTGAGGGAGGATGCTCTCTTATAAATAATCACCATATAAGTTACTTAAAGTTTGTTTAAAAGAGGTATATAATTAAGAAACATATAATCAGAAATTCAGAAACTGCAGGTCAGTTACAAAAAAGAAAACTGGCCTGGAATGTGGAGAAAATAGTGAGGGTTGAGATTAGAGAAGGTGGTCTGTGAAGAGAAGTGAAATGTAAATAACCAAAGTACCTTTGAACAGGATTATGCAGAGTGAAGGCAAAGCAGAGAAGTAGAAGTTTCTCTCTAGTTTGTAAGGCATCATCAGTGGATGTGAATAAAAATATCTTAAGGAAAATATTATGTTAGCCAGGCATGATGGCATACCCCTGAAATCCTAGGTACTCCAGTGGCTGAAGCAGGAGGTCACAGTGTCAAGGCCAGCTGGGAGAATTTAGCTGGACTGTGTCTCTAAATAAAAAGAGATACAGCTTAGTAGTAGCGTGCTTGTCTAGTACACATGAGATAAGGGTTCAATTCCCAGTAATTAAAATGAGTGTTTTAATATAGTAAAAGTATAAATACAGGTAGAAAGGAGTTTTAAGAATGAAGTATACAAACCTATTTATTTTTCACTTTTTTCCTCAGCTCTTAATTATATTTCACATGTAGATGTTATTCCTAGAAGCTTTGCTTAAAGATAAGAAATTTGTTAACAGAATAAATTCAGAGGGCAATACTTCTGCATCTGTAGATGAGAGTAGGATGTTTAGGAATGTGAGATTGTTTCTTTGGCCACCCTTTGCAGTCAGAGTTGCCATTGAGTGTAAGTACTTTCTGTCTTTGTCTTTCCATGCATTGAAATAAGAACCGATTTTTGTACTCTCTGTATGTGTGTTTTAATGCCATGATGCTGTTAATCTGTAGGATGTAAAGAAAATTTATTTTTAAAAGGCCAAAACTCCAGTTTATTTACTTAATATTTCTCAAGTTTCATTTGATCTTTCTGATATAATACAATATTCCTTTAATATCTTTTAAAATAGAAAAGCACAAATCTAATGCATAGTCATCATAAATCATTCAGAACAAGTAAATAAGGAAAAATAACAAAAATAATTAGTGTCCCCCTCATAATATATAATTAACATTTTGTTACATATTCTTTATTCCAATCACATGTGCATGTTTGTGTGTGTGGGGGGTCTGGAAATACACATTTACAAAATATATTTAAGATAGATATATTTTATAAATGATTATAATATTTTTAACTTATATAATTATATTGTTAATATCTTCTGTGAAATGTTTTTAATAACAGCATTCTAAATGAATTCATATTTATTCATCAAACTTATTAACAAAAGTTTTGCAAACTACCTATTATTCATTTCAGATACAACCCCCTCTTTTATTCCCATTTTAAACAGTGTAATGTTGAGATGAACATCTTTTTTAGCCATATCTTTGTGCACTGTGCATGATTATTTATTTAGTGCACACTTGTAGACTTGGCATTGCCAGATCAGAGAAAATTCATTTCTTTAAGTTTTTTTTTTTTTTTCCCCATCCTTTTTTTTTGGTTTTCTTTGCGTGCTGGGGATTAAATGCAGGGCCTTGTGCAAGGCTTTTGGTTCTCATTGTCAAAATGCTTTTCAGAAAGTTAGACTTAAAAAAAAAAAAGCATGTATGTTTTTCTCCAGTATCCTGAATGATATATTTGAAAACTCATTGCTGAAGACTGTCAGGAATGTTGGTAAGGCCACATTAAAGTCATTATGTTAAGTAAATTATCTGGAGTGAACACAGATGTTTCATTATTAACCTTTGGAATAGCCAAATCACAACTAAATACTACTGAACTCTAATTAGAAATTTGAGAGATTAGTTATCTGATACCAGAACAATTGTAAATAAGCTTAAGTGATAACATAAAAAATGGAGAAGTGCATATTGTAGGATTTCCAGACCATAAGGTTTGAGGGTCAGTTATTCTGGGAGACTGCAGAAAAAAAAGAAGTTGGTAATAACAACAGAGTTCTTGATGTTTTTGATGACAGAGAGGAATCTCCAGTCAAACAGGCAGCTACCTCCATGGAGACAGCTGTGCCAAGTACCACTATATCAAGTCACTAGACAGAAGGGCCGAGATGGCTTTTTGGTGCTAGTGCTTCTTCCTTTCCAAAACTGTGCAATAATAAATGCATTATATTCCACAGCAATATCAGTCAGCATTGAAATAAGACCCTATAGCAGACACATTCTATAGGAATGAGTTATTGGCACTGTTTTTTTTTTTTTTTTTTACTTAACCTGTCATGAATGTCCTTGAAATTCTGAAATAGTTTGGGTATGCTTTAATTTTGTGTCTTTTGTCTTTCTAATAATTAAATTGGTACAGCATACCAATTAATATAGTTTGTTTTCCCCATTTCTTTAATAATAAAATTATTGTAGCTTAAAAGTGCTATTGGCTTAAAATTGCTGAATGGTTATTATGGTAAATATCATAATGTATAAATAAAATGTGACACAAAGCATATTTTACTCCAAAATTTATTTTATTATAGAAGAAAGTAAGTATTAGAGAATCAATAAATCATGTATTTTTTTTATACATAGCAGGGGGATTCACTGTGACATTTTCATACATGTCTATAGCATAACTTATGAAATTTCATTTCCCAGACCCTCCTTTTCCTCTAATTTCCCTCCCTTTATCTCCTTATTCTACTCTAATGGTCTCCCTTCTCCAGTAAAACATTTAGAGATCACTACTTTAAGACTGGTAATCAGAGACATAATTAAAAATTTGTAAAAATATTATAAATGTATTGCTGCCATAATATGTTACTGAACAAATTGTTATAGCAGTGGAGAAAAAAGACATGGTTTTGTGAAGAGCTGTGGTCCAATACCCCAAAGTATTTATCTAAGATCTCAGGTATTGTCTTAGCTGAGAGCAGTAATTAGTCTACTGTGCAATGGTCAATCCCAATGACATCTTATTAACTTAGCTACTGACTTTACATTTTTAAATGTTTAATTAATTTTTGGGGAATACTAAGAGTTGAAGATGCACTATACAGATGAGCTGTATCCCCAGCCTTTTATTTATTTTTTTATTTTTTTGGTGATAGGGTTTCACTAAGTTGCTTAGGGTTTCTATAAATTGCTAAGGCTACCCATGAACTTGTGTTCCTCCTGTCTCACTCTCTCAAGCTGCTCAGATTATAGGTATACACCACTGCACCTGGTTTAGCTGTTGACTTTAGAATATGAATATAACCAGTTGGGTTAAGATCCAGGATATCCTGTCTAAAAATATACAATCTTCTCCAAAAATTTACATGGATCATTTATTCTATTAATGTACCATCTGTGAAAATCAAGAGGCAAAGAAAGATTTCTAGCTTACAAGAGAAGATGACACCTGGGAAATTGAAGTAAATAATAATAATATCAGTTACTATTATTGTAGTATGTGCATTTTATGCTTGGGACTATAGTAAAGAGTTGTATAAAATCTTCAAAAATGCTCTGAACCATTGAGTACCACTCAATGGGAATTCTTCTCTGCCATGATTTGAAACTGTTATTAGGGGTTAATCAGCTATTTAGACTGGCAGTCTTTTAATGTACCTTGGGCAAAACTTAATACATTTTCAATGGGGTAATCCAGAGGATTGATTAATTGTACATGTTAGGAGGAGAGGATCAATGGTAACCCTTGCAAACCTGGGTTCTGTAACTCCATACCTAATTATGCTTAAAATCATATGCTAGGGGGAAACATAATAAAAATTGTGTTCTACCTGACGTATGATAAACAGGTATATTTATGCTTTGTGATGCGTATCTTTGTTAAAATCCATGACATGAGAACAACTGGCTGTTTTCCTGCAGTGGTTCCTGGACTAACATGGCAGCCTAGTGTCAAAATCCTATTTTTGTTCTCAGTCACCATGTGACTTCTGTCTACAGTGGAACATCTTTGTGTGTTCTCTGAGGTGGCACTCTTTATACTTCATGCCTCCCCATGCTAGATAGCCAATTGAGTGGAATTCAATTCAATTTCATTCAATTGAATGGAGTAGATGAGTTATTCAAACTTAATTTCTTACAGCCCCAGAATAACATAGGGATGTTACAGAACTGAGGCTAATAGCAGTGGTGATGAGTCTCTTTATTATATATGCCCTATTTTTTTTCTTTTTTTTTTTTAGTTATCAATGGACCTTTATTTATTTATATGTGATGCTTATAATTGAACCCAGTGCCTCACACATACTAGGCAAGCACTCTACTACTGAGCCACAACCCCAGCCTAGCCCTATTATTGTCTAAAAAAATTTAACATCAGTGCTCACAGTAACTCTACAAAGTATCCTTGTTCCATGAACTGAGATTCAAATGGTTACTTCATTGCAAAAGGTCACATAATATGGGTAAACAATGATCTTTGAATGAGAAATGAGAAATTATTCCATTGCTATCACTCTTAGCCTGTCTCCCTGCAATAATCCTGGGTAGGGCAAAAGAAAGGTGTACCCTCTATGTCAATTAGGTCAATATTTATTAAATATTAAAATAACTTCTGTTTAATTAGACGAGATATTTTTTTTTAGTAAGATCTGGATTTGAACCAGGCTCTACCTGGTCTAGTCTGTGTCTTTCATAGTGTCTCAATTTCCTCATTTGTAAAATAAGGATACTAACATGTTGCTATGGAAACTAAATGAGTTAATGCAGCTGCATACTTTGAAAAATGTTATTTAATAACAATGCAATGGTCTACTTACTTGATCAATGCCTTTCTATGACTCTGTTCTGGAGACCTGGTCATTTGGAGTTGAATTTAATATTCAGAATAGTTTAGCATCCTTCATTGTTATATATTCCCCTTGGCTTATAGGTCTGTTTCACTTTGTTATCTGTAATGTCATTTCAGGTTCCTATATGATAGTGGACTCTTCAGATCATGACCCTGGAGAAAAAGCCAGGCTGCAGCTGCCCACCATGAAGGAGAATGACACTCACTGCATTGACTTCAGCTACCTGTTGTACAGCCAGAAGGGGCTGAATCCTGGCACTCTGAACATATTAGTGAGAGTGAATAAAGGACCTCTTGCTAATCCAATTTGGAATGTGACTGGATTCACTGGAAGAGAGTGGCTTCGGGCTGAGCTAGCAGTGAGCACCTTTTGGCCAAATGAGTATCAGGTAATCGTCTGTGCTTTTCTGTTTTATGCTTTGATCTTTTGGATATCATTGCATGTGGAATACTTAGATGTAAATACTGGCTGCATAGTAAGAGGGTGTTTGTCCCTTTTGCATCTTCCCACACTATTTCTTCATGAATAGTTTGAATGAGTTGGCGCAAAACATTCAAATTGAGAAAATATTTCCACACAAGGAAGAAAGTAGGTTCAGGTCCAAAACTGGTCATTTGCTTGGCAAAGAGCTGCTTATTGACAGATGTATTTCTGTTACTTTTTCAGGAAGAAATAGCCTTTTGATTTGACTGAAATAGATTGAACTGGTTTCCTGATTTCCTGAAAATAACATTTGGAAAATAAATATGAAATATTATTTTATTCAGGTTTGTCTTGAGGGGGAGGCATTATGGTTATTTATTTAAATTTTTGTCAGTTAAATGTAATATTAAACTAAGCAAAACAACAATAACAATAAGTTGTCCCCCAACATCTTTGGAATTTTTTCCCCCAGAAATACTTAATCTGAGTATGATGCAGTAGTCACTGAATAATGTCAATGCTTATTTTATGTTCGTGTGACTGAGTTTATGTGGTTTAAAAATGTCTGTCTACTCTTTTGGAGAGTGGTTCAGTGAACTTTATTGTGAGGTTTAGTGCCTGAAAACAGTTATCTTTTGTAAAGGCTCATTTTTCTTGTGCGTGTTAGACTTCAATATTTAAACTTTTAAGACTTGCCTATTTGTAATTTATTATAGTGTCTAATCAGAGTTCATTTGTGTAATGGCATATTTTATAGGAGTGAACAGTATATAAGGTAAAAAATAGCTCTATTTTTTTCTTATTTAAAAATGAATTATTCAGGTTAGGCTTGTTTTTGTTCCTGAAGAGGAAAAACGCAAGGCTTTGTCTTACTTGTTTTTTCTTGAGTTGATGTTTTAATTTTATTAAAAATCTCTTATATCATAGGCATGGTTCCAGTTAAACTTCTCATTTTCAAGTTATGTGTTTGATGAGATTTCAATGGATTTTCATTAGGGATAGTTAATTCCATTATTCCTGAACAGACGGATGTTTCTCTTTAGTGTGGGAGAGCCATCTGCATTTTAGGGCCCACAGCTTCCGAAGGGCTACATATATGTATGTGGGTTGGAGCGGGTGGGGGTTGTGTGTGAATGTGTGTAGCTGCTTCTAAAGCATTGGCTGAAGGATCAGTGGGCCCATCTCTGAATTCAGTGGGTAGATGGCTGTCATCACTGGATCACCCCACATGGCTTTATCAGTATACTGATTTCATGAGAGTCTGTCATTGGAGCTCAACATAACACCAGGAAGAAGCTCTGATTCAGCAGAATAAGACTGTCAACACATTCAGCCTCCACAAAACAAAGGACAGCTTCAAGAAATGAGTTAATTTAACAATATTATTACAAATGTGGGTTCTGTATCATATAACCTGTATTTAGCACTGTATTTGCCCTTATGTGCTAATAGTTCTTTTAGGAATCAAACTGTTAACTGTTCCTTAAAAACAATAATAATGACAATTTGGTAGTATATTTTGATAAATCCAACAATTAATTTATTTCCCTTCATGATTAAGAAATGATGTATATATTTTTATTTATTTGAAAACTTTAAAGAGCCCTATCATCGACTCTTGTGGCACAGTTTATTATGCTGTTAGTTTTAAGGTTGAGTTTTAGTCCCTCAAACTGGATGAATACCTTTTTGGTCAGCCTCATTTTGCATGATTAAGCTCCCTACTTTATATGTGCCTGTGGCTATTTAGACAAGCAGTGCAAAAAGTGTCGGCATGAGTTTCAAACCAGCCAGTAAGATATTGTTGGAGATGTTAAAGAAATAAATGACTAAGTATGTAGAACTTATGGGTAAATGTCTTGTTGTTGAAGATTCAAATTTGAGCCATAGATAATTACTTAAATGATTATTTTGCTTTTACCTCTTTTGCTAAACCTGCAAAACTTAGTCAGTAAAAGTAAACGTGTGCTGTGTGCTTAGTGCTCAATAAATTACTTAGTTTGTGTTTTTATTAATTCAGTCATTTAGATACCTAGTTGTACCTGTACAGGTATCAATTATTATAAACAACCAGCATAACATATACTATTCTTATGAATAAATTTTTGCTATTAGAAAATACTATGAAAAATTAACCTCCCATACATTGTCAGTAGCTTTCAATATCAAATATCTGTCAAGTATTTGGTAAGTGCTGGTTTACAGGCAGAACCTGGTAGAATTTTTTTACTTCTTCATATTTAAAGGGGAACTCATTTGCTTTAAGTACAAGTTATCAAAGGGCATTTTTGAAATGCTGTATTGAAGTATGGTGGTTTGATTTCTATTTTTGTGTGATAAAAGGACTACCTTATGTCTACCAAAGTACTAGTTAGACTTGTCTTTCATAGGAACAAACTTATTATTCCAAATTTCTCTTTCTCTGGTCAAACCTGCTCAAGTAATCATTTAAGATCCTAGAAATATTTTATACAAAAAAAAGTTTGTACATTTTTTCAGTAAGAAAAGAATTAAAAAATAAAATAAGTTTGTTATGAAGAAAACAAAACAAAACATATTATTGACCACAAATTGATTTAGATAAGACACTCATGAAACATCTTTTTAAAATTTTTCTTTTTTAGTTGTAGGTGGACAAAATATCTCCATTTATTTATTTTTATGTGGTGCTAAGGATCGAACCCAGGGCCTCCACATGCAAGACAGGTGCTCATACCAGTGAGCTATGGCCCCAGCCCCAAAACATCTATTTTTTTAATAGAACATCTAATTGGACTCACCAGGATGAATTAGCTTCAGATTGTGAACAATCTGAACAACTTAATAAATAAATTGACCCACTGAGTTTCATTATTTGGCATTTCATATTTTACCTTTGTTTTTTAATATAATTTATGGAAATCTGTTTGTTCTGCCAATAATTTTGGTTCTTCATGTCCAGTTCAATTCATGAATGGGTAAGAATGCTGGCCACATAGAATGGCAGATTATGTTTTCATTCCAGGTACCTTTAAGCAGAAGAATACCCTTGACTGTACATGTTCAGTAGTCAAACGTAATAAGCAAATGAAAATTTAATTTTTTACAGTATGCAGTAATGCTTGCATATATAAGTAACTATTTCTCACCTGTGTCTTCCGACCAATTGATGTCTTTTCAGTGTAGTATACTACTAATAAAATTATATGACATTTGTTTTATTTGCCATGGTTGCATGATGCCATGGCATATATTTTTATAGGCCTCAGGTTAGTACTGAAGTTTTTTAAATTGGCTGCTAAGTAGAAGTAGAAAGGAAAAAAAAAAAAAGTCTTTACAAGGCACCATCTCACTGTTACATTATAACTGAAGGTCTGTACACCTCTAAAAGGGTGATTTTCTCCACTCTGGAAATCTGACCTGTCTTTTATGCATAAAACTAAGTTCTGCTTTGGGATTAAATCCATTACTTTCTTAGTGATCAGTGAGGTTGTTACCAAATGAGGCAGACAGACGACATACATAACTTGCAAAACTATTAGTGGAAACCTAATCTGCTGTTTTCCATTAACTGGGTGCACATCATTAATCACAAAAATGATGCGTGATGAAAACTACAGGGGTTTGGCCAGAAATTGCAAAGTGACAATATTGTGGAATGTGCCTTTTTCCTCTGTAATTCGCAGAGAAACAAACACTGAACTTTTGCAGTTCATTTTCTTCTTAAGATTTTCCATTAGTTTGGGGGAAAAAAATGTAAGTGGACAAGCATGAGATTTTCTGGCTTTGTCTCCTTTTAAAAGGATTATATTAACATGTATTGTACTGATATTTTGGCAGTAGAAAGATTGCTACTCTCCAGAGATCATGCTGGCATTAGGTCTGAAAAAAAAAATGGGACTTAAATCAAAAGACTGTTTCACTGAATAAAAAGGCTCTAAAAGAAAGACTTGAAGCACAGGGACCCATGTTAGAAGAGCATGCTTATGATGAACCAACCTACAAAGAATGAGGAAGAGGAAATGTCACTCCTCTGTCATAGTTCTTAGAACTCTTCCAGGTTTTGTCTCATTCATTCAAATCCACACCTCAGAAGTAAATTTTTTCTTTCTGAAATATCTTTTTTTTTTTTTTTTGCTTCCCGTGCCAGGACCTTGTACATACTAGGCAAGCACTGAACTATATTCCCAGCCCTTGTTCTAAATTTGATAATGAGACAGAATCTTGCTAAATGGCCAAGTTGGCCTTGAACTTGAAATGCTCATGTGTCAAACTTTCATGTAGCTGGGATTATTAGGTTGTATCACCATGCCCACCTTCCTAAATATATTTTACAGCTATATCTTCTTCATTTAAAAGTATTAAAAGTGACTGAATTAGCATCGTGCATAGTGAGCAGTGTTGTAGATATTGTTGTTATCTATCCACTAGTCATTCTCCTGTCTTCCATGTTGGCAGAATTTCTCATGTTGGGGAATTGCTTTTCCTAATTTTCTTTGTGGGTGGAGTAGCCATATGACATGATTCTGGTTAATGAGTTAGAAGAAAAGACTGCCAGAGACTTCAGGGAAAGATTTTCATTCTTGATAAAACAAAAAACAAACAAACAAAAAATAAATAAAAAGAAGGTTGGGGGTGTTCTTGCCAGAAAACATGGTGCCTGGTGCTACTGCAGCCATTTTGTAACTATGAAGAAGGATGTGGTAGAGCAACTAAAGGTGACAGAAGAGACTGTTGTGGAAATCTGGGTCATACCTATGGGAAAGTATTATTATTATTATTAGTAGTAGTAGTAGTAGAGGTAAATGTAACAGCTACTGTTTAAACATCATTTAGATGAGTATTCTATTATGCAGCCCAAATCATCTTAATGTTACCACATCACATTTTTTTTGAACTATCAACATATTGTTTGTAGGTAGTATATGTGAGACATGGCAGAACTAAAATCTTGAATGTTTTTCTATGTATGAAATAATCCATATT